GGATGAAATGTCGGTCAGCCGATGCCTTCCCACTGGACGTGAAGTTGTGACTGGTCGCGCGGAACTCTTTCCATGTCCCCCGGGGAGGTGGATAGACTTGAGCTTGGAAGAGGAGAATCGGCATGGCATACGAGTTGAGCACCGTGACACGCGTCGATGTATTAATGTGCTGATTCTGCCACTTCACCATCACCTCCCCTGCTCTATCAGCCGCCTTCTCCCATGACGGCGTCGGGTCTCCACCCGGCGTTATCCAGACACCCAGCAACCTCTGCGGCTCATTTTTTCCTGCCCAGGGGTAAGGCGCATCTGCCGGTGGAGGTACGTCCTGATTCTTCCCCAGCGGGACAACCACCGTCTTATCCTTGTTGACTTTGAGCCCGGACAGCTCACCAAACTCCTCCAGCAGCTCACACGCTCTTCCAACTTGCTCTTTCCTGTTCAGCACCACCGTCGTATCATCCGCATATCCCAAATATGCCACATCACCGATTCCACGCTTCCATACACCCAGCCGCCGTCTCTTTATCTCCTGACTGAGTGGCTCAGCTGCGCAGATGAAGAGGTAGGGTGCTAGCAGACAGCCCTGGCGCACTCCTCTCTCCATCCCCACCCGTTCTCCCAACCATCCGTTGATCAGCAGCTGCGTTCCCGACTGATCATGCAGACCCTTCGTCCAGTTCACATATTCTTCCGGGAAACCCATGCGCTCCAAAGTCTGAAACATGTAGTCTCTGGAGATTGAGTCATACGCTTTCTGAAAATCGACCAAGAGAAGGTACCAATCTTCTCTCCCCGCTGCTGCCGCGTCGACCACATCAGCCACAACGTTGACTGCATCTGCCAGCTTCCTTCCTGGTATGAAACCATACTGGTGCTCCGAGATCACCATCGGTAAAACCTTCTTGATTCTGTTCGCCAGCACTTTCGCCACGATTTTGTATGCTGCACTTAGTAGCGTTATGGGTCTGTAGTTTTCTAATTTCCCCTTGTCCCCTTTCTTGTGCAGCAGTATGGTCACCGCCGTTGTCATTTGCGACGGGAGCGCCGCAGAGGCTTCAAACTCCTTGATGAAACGAAGGAAAGGCCGGCCAAGCATGTCCCAGTTCTCCTCAATGAACTCCTTGGGGAGACCATCCAACCCCGGCGCCTTTCCTTTCGGTAGCTGCTTGATCGCCGCCAAAACCTCTTCTTCCGACCAGGAGGCCCTCAGCATCTCTTTTTCCAGCACCCCAAGGACCTTGTTCGGGTCAACACGCCAAGCTTCCTTCACCACGCCCTCCTGCGCAGCAAAAGCCTCTGTAAAGTACCTTGAAGCTGCGGTAAGTACTTCTCTTTCCCCAGCAAAGCACTCTCCCTTGTAGGTGACTTCCTCTATCACCGTTTGCGCCTTCCTCGTCACAATCCGTCCAGAAAGAACTTTGGAGGAAATTTCCCCGAAGACCTCCTGTTGAGCACCCGCCATAGTCTGCAGCTGCGACCGCTGCCTTTCTCGGTAAGCTTTGAGCATTGACCCGTACTTCACCAGCTGCTCGTAGCTCTCCGTATCCCCCGTTCCATTCATGAACTCATATTCCAGCCGTGTCACCGCCTCCTCTAAACTTAAAACTGTTTTTTTGACACGCTTCCTCTCTTCCCTCGAGTGCGCTCTGATGCTCGCTTGCAGTTTGACCAGCAGCTGTGAGAAATCGTGAAGCTGCAGATCTTCCTGCTCCTCAAGGACTAGGCCAATCCTCTTCCTGATACCCGGACTCTTGGCTTGGGACGCGTGCATCCGCCACAGTCCCGGTCCTTTACCACCATCAACCTCCACGGAGAGTTCCAGTGATATCGCATACCAGTGATCCGAGATACCATGGGGAACAGATGAGTGGTACGCATCCCCAATCTTATGAAGAAGCGACTGCGACACCAGTGCTCTATCAATGCGAGTGCGCTCCTTCACCGAGTGCGCGTAAAAGGTATACTCCCGCTTGGTTGGATGAAGCGTCCTGAAGGCATCCTGTAAGTTGAGCGACGACAGGATGTCCAGGAGTTTTTGGTTTTCTCGCGCTGATCCCACCTTCGATGACTTATCAATCCGTGGATCTGCTACAACATTGAGATCGCCGATGAGTATCGTATGAGACACCGGTGGTAGATTGCTGACAAACTCCGTTAAACAATCTCTAAAAAAAACACTTCTGTTCGTTGCCTGCGCAGGAAAGTACGCCGCCAATACCCGCCAGGTCAGACCCTCTCTTTCTACTGTCACCGCGACCAGCCTGCCAGACACATGCGTGCAGACGTCCTTAAACATCACACCTGCCGTGAAACTGAGAACCGCAACCCCCCCCGCTCCTCCTTCAGGTGAGACTGCTGCAAAAGCTGTAGGATTTAGTTGCGTCCAGAAGTTATGGTCTGCTGCTACTCTAGTGTCCGTTAGCACCAAGATATTTGCCGCTGACTTGATCCAGTTCTGATGCGTGTTCCTCTTCTCCACACCGCCTAAACCATTGATGTTCAGCGCGGTAATAACAAACTTGCTTCCTTTTATTCATTTGACCACTGCTGAAGACCCCACAGCATCCACAGGTCGGCATAACGTACTGATAAAGAAAATACCACAAACTGCTACTGCTGCGAAGAAGGAGCCTACTAGAAAACACTCGAAAGCCTGCTTAATCTCCGGATGTTCCCCCCCTTCCTGACTGCAGGAGCACAGTCCAGAACATGCTGAAGCCCTTCATGGTGTCAGTGGGGAAGCACTTCAGTCAACCATAACCTGCCTTCCGAACCTCATCGAATCTCACACCAAACCTCCAGTTTTCCTCCGAAAGCTTCAAACTACACTCTGACTGATCTGGTAACCGCGTCGGCCAGCCAATCCCCGCTTCGCTTCGATGATCTGAGCGAACCTCCTCATCCATTCTGGCTCGTGCTCGCCCACATGAGTTGGCATGGGGGGGGACGGAAGTTGGCGAAATTCTGCCGCTCATCAGCCGCCTTCCCGCTGAAACATTGACGGAGGATATTCCCGTGCCTCTCTGTGGGGGAAAGGAGTTTCCTTGCTTTCTCCTTGGAATGCTCACCTCGCTTCCATTCTTCGCTTCCCTTGCTCCACCACAGTGCTATCTTTCAGGCTGCCGTCTGCTTATCTCCGCTCTGAGCTTTAGGTCCAGCTATGCGACCTGCCGTTGGAGTAGACCCTAGTTCACCGAATGCCTGCACTAACCTTAGTCGCTCAAAGCCGATTAGCCTCGACTCTGTCTGGCAGTCGATAACAGTAGAAATGGGATTTTAAGTTAATTGTAGTTAGGACGTTGTCAATATCGTGGCTGATTGGGATTTTAGTTTAAGAAGGTATTGTACGTCAGATACAATGGATCAGATACCAAGTTGAAGGCGGTACGACGTTAAGATGCTACTTTAGACGGCGTTCCAGTAGGAACGGATCGCAAGCCGTCAAGCGACCTCACTCCGCCAATGCAACGCCGCCGCTGCTTCCGTCGTCGGAGCAAGATTAGTGACGTAGCCGATATCTCATCTGCTATAGCCAGTAAGCAACGTCGAAAAGCAACGTCGTCGCTGCTGTAACTTTTGAAGCTTAGCTGCTTGTTCCGGCCAAAAAAGCAACGATATCGCTGCTTTACGCGTCAAAGCTTCTCTGCTGCTTCCGCCGACAACTGTTCCTTCCGTCGATGCAACAGCACTAGCGTTTTCGTCGTGGATGCAACGTTTCCGCTATTTTCCCGGTGGAAACGACTTTCCCGCTGTTTCTGCTGAAAACACAACGCTACTGCCGTTTCCGCCGTTTCCAGCTCCGAATCGACGGCGCGGCTGTTTCCGCTGACACCACAAAGTTACTTTCGTTTTCGCCGGGAAAGAAACGGCGCAGAAAGTTTCCGTGGTCAAAGCGACGTCGCGGTTGTTTCCGTCTTCAATTCTACGGTACTGCCGTTTTCCGCCATCAAAGCGACGGAGCTTCTGTTTCCGCAATCACACGAGGATTGCAGATCGGGCTGACCTTGTAAGTGCGATGAAAATAGATTCTCGGGGGCCGAGCAGATAAGAGGAGAGTAAGCGCCGTCAGCCTGGGTCCCAGTCCACTTTTTCTTGCCTTAGTCGCTCGCGATTCCTACGGTAACTAACCAACAAGTGCTGCTTGTCTCTGTGTCTGTCATGTCATGGAATGCATGCGAGTGTATGCGAGTGACTCCCTCTCATTGCCTGCAATGCAAGCCTCTGCGTGGGTGGACGTGTGATGCTTCAGTGTGCAGCGTCAGTGCGTTTCAGGAGCGTCAAGGCAACGACGCAGTGGTGGTCGCGGCGAGAGCGACGACACAGAGGTGGTCGCGACGAGAGCGACGACGCAGAGGTGGTCGCGACGAGAGCGACGACGCAGAGGTGGTCGCGACGAGAGCGACGACGCAGTTGTGGTCGCGACGAGAGCGACGACGCAGTGGTGGTCGCGACGAGAGCGACGACTGCAGCAGCATCTACCGAGCAACCTGGAGCACGGGCTCCTGAAGTGAAGGAGAGGCGCAGAAGGGAGAGCAGCAGACGGAGCGTGGTACGTGCCAGGGGGTGCTTGCAGGGGGGCAGTGAAGTGAGTCGTAGGGCGTCGCCGCACAGAGGCAACAGTCGCGTATCTTGCTTTTGCCGCCATCACTCGCCTCCTTCTACTTCTGACCCTCCCGTGTTTCCCCGCTTCTGTGTGCGTGTCTCCCTCCCCATGCGTGTTTGTGTCTCTTGGCTTGCAAGTATGGGCAGCAGCAGCAAGCGAGCAACATGGAGCAGCATGACTGAAGCAAAGGAGGGGCGCAGAAGGCAGAGCGACGGACAGAGTGTGGTACGTGCCAGGGGGTGCTTGCAGGGGGGAGTGTAGTGAGTCGTAGAGCGTCGCCGCGCAGAGGCACGAGTCGTGTCCCTTGCTTTTTGATTCCGCCGCTCATTTCCTGCTATTTCTAACCCTCCCTTGTTGTTGCCGCTTCTGTGTGCGTGTCTCTCTCTCTCTCCCCATGCGTGTGTGTGTGTGCCTCACGGCCTGCGAGCATGGGCAGCCGGAGCAACGGAGCAACCTGGAGCAACTTGGAGCAGCAGGCGTGAAGGGAAGGCGTGGTGCAGGAGTGGCAGAGCAGCGGACAGAGTGTGGTACGCGCCTGCGGGTGCTTGCAGGGGGGAGTGTAGTGAGTCGTAGAGTGTCGCCACGCAGAGGCAAGTGTCATGTCTCTTTCTTTTGCCTCCGCCTCTCCTCTCCTGCTGTTTCTAACCCTCACTTGTTGGTGCCGCTTCTGTGTGCGTGTCTCTCTCCCCATGTGTGTGCGTGTGTGCCTCACGGCCTGCGAGCATGGGCAGCCGGGGCAACGGAGCAAGCTGGAGCAACGTGGAGCAGCAGGCGTGAAGGGAAGGCGTGGTGCAGGAGTGGCAGAGCAGCGGACAGAGTGTGGTACGCGCCTGCGGGTGCTTGCAGGGGGGAGTGTAGTGAGTCGTAGAGTGTCGCCGCGCAGAGGCAAGTGTCATGTCTCTTTCTTTTGCCTCCGCCTCTCCTCTCCTGCTGTTTCTAACCCTCAATTGTTGGTGCCGCTTCTGTGTGCGTGTCTCTCTCCCCATGTGTGTGTGTGTGTGCCTCACGGCCTGCGAGCATGGGCAGCCGGGGCAACGGAGCAAGCTGGAGCAACGTGGAGCAGCAGGTGTGAAGGGAAGGCGTGGTGCAGGAGTGGCAGAGCAGCGGACAGAGTGTGGTACGTGCCAGGGAGTGCTTGCAGGGGGGCAATGTAGTTAGTCGTAGGGCGTCGCCGCGCAGAGGCAAGAGTCGTGTCTCTTGCTTTTTTATTCCGCCACTCCCCTCCTGCTATTTCTAACCCTCCCTTGTTGTTGCCGCTTCTGTGTGCGTGTCTCTCTCTCTCTCTCTCCCCATGCGTGTGTGTGTGTGCCTTACGGCCTGCGAGCATGGGCAGCCGGAGCAACGGAGCAACTTGGAGCAGCAGGCGTGAAGAAAAGGCGTGGCGCAGGAGTGGCAGAGCAGCGGACACAGTGTGGTACGCGCCAGGGGGTGCTTGCTGGGGGGCAGTGAAGTTAGTCGTAGGGCGTCGCCGCGCAGAGGCGAGAGTCTTGCTTTCTACCTCCGCAACTCCCCTCCTGCTGCTTCTGATCGTCCCTTGTTGCGCCGCTTCTGTGTGGCTGTCTCTCGTTCAAGACACCTCCCTGCAAGCACCATGCGTTGCTTGTTGTCTCTGTGCCTTCTTCATCTGCCACCTGCCATCTCTTCTGGCACAATCTCACCCTCTCATCCACTCGCTTCTCTCTTTCCTTCCTTGCCATCCTTCGCCCCCTCTCTCCAGCACTCAAGGGGACAGTCGCTGCAGCAACGCAGGGATCACCAGTGGCTGCAGCAACGCAAGGATGATGGCAAGCACTCACCAAGTTGTGGGTGGTTCAGATCAAGTAGCAAACCACTTCTCCCTTCACCACTTACCTACTTTTTATGTGCCAGTAAGTCTTGTTTACCATTCTTCCACGGTGCGCGTGTGTCTTTGATGCTGTGTTGCTACTCTGCTCAGTTCTCATTCCCCTCCTTTCCCGCCCTCTCCTCTTCTCTGTTCTCCTCTCTTCCCTCACCAGAGCACTAAGTCCTGCTATCCAGTACCAGCAGTATGGGCATCAGCGGTGGCAGCAGCACCAGCAGTGGTGGCAGCAGCACCAGCAGTGGTGGCAGCAGTGGTTGCAGCAGTGGTGGCAGCAGTGGTTGCAGCAGTGGTGGCAGCATCAAAGGCCACTGCAGTGGGTGCGGCTGCAGCAATGGAAGGGTGAGTACAGCTTACCCCAATGCTTCCAAGGTCTCTCTCTGTGCTCGTTGCTTCATACTGTTTGGCTCTCTATGATGTCTTACTTTTTTCCCTGCTTGCTTCCCCTCATGTTGCTCGTCTTTCCCTCTTCTTGTACCCTATCTTGTTTCTATGGTGCCCTTGCATTTCTCCTCTCTCCAATTCCCATTGATGTCCCCTCTCCATATCCCGTTGGTGTCGGCGTTTGCAGCTTCTAAGTGCCTCCCGAGTCTCTGTCCTCCCCTTTCTTACGTGTCCTACTGTTGTCCCACTGGCAGTTCTTAAGTGGCTCTTCTGTGGCGAGGTAGACAACATGTGGAACCGCATGAAGACCTCAAGATGGGCCGCTGCTGTCCTTTACTGTTCTTGGCTGTGCTTAGGTGTGCTTCGTTGTGATTAGTTGTGTTTGGCTGTGCTTAGGTGTGTTGCGCTGTGCTGTGGTGGTGTGGGCCTGCGGTTGTAGAATAGGAGGGCGGGGGGTGGGGGCTGCCTTGAAGGTGCATGCGTGGGTACAAGCTAACACCCAAGCAGGAGAGAGAGTCCTCTGCAGGTGCTCTTCCATGAGATGATGATCCTGTGCTGTGGCATGCTGGGGACTTGGCAGCTAGAGGCCAAGGCCTTGAGTGAGAGTGAGGTGGAGCTGGCATCAGGGGCATGATGGGTATAAAAGACTGGTGAGGAGGAGCCAGACAAAAACTACAATGCAGGGGCGAAATTGGAAGTGCAGGGCATCCCCAACCATGCACTGCACACAAAGCACACCCGGAGACAGGCAAACCTCTTTCATGAACAGAATGGCTGGGTCTGACAAGAAACATTGTTCTCACTGCGTGTGGGAGATGCGGTACAAGAATTGTCAGGAGTACCAAATGCCGTACAAACACCTAAGCCACATATGTGCTGCTGTGACTGGGGCAGTAACTGCAGTTACGACAGCCAGGGCACCTGGAAGAGCAATAACATTGGGTCTGTTTGTGTAAGGGGGCTGGATTTCCACTTGAATTCTCTCAAAAGCCCAGAAGACCAAAAGACCCCTCCCCCCTTCTCACACCAAAAGTCACTTCTCTGTGTCACTGATGTTGGGAACAATAAAGTCTTAAAGCGCCTCTGTCGTGTCGAAACTCAGGACACAAGCGAAGCAGTCCAAATCGAAGCATCGCAAGTCAACCCTTGGAGGTTAGGGTAACCGCCTGGAGGTTACGCGAAGGTCAAAAGTCAGCGACCTTTGACTTGACAAATACAGCGCGACAGCAAGGACACACAACTGACTCGACATTGAGTAGTTGCCCGAGTCGCACTGTATCGAATCGCAACAGCAAAACAGTTTAATTATATCAATTCGTATTCCTTATACTCTTAGATAAAGCCTTGTATTTGCTTGTTTTAATCAAACTTACTTTGCCCTCACATACTAGCACAAGGTGGTTCAAGGACTTTTCATTCAAACGCTTCCGCTATTACAATCCTACTCAGACTTTAGCTCTACAAAGATCCTAGGGCATATCAGCCCAACATCGTATGAGAGCAGATAGAGTTCAAAGTTATTTTTTCTCTTAATACTTAATACAAGGAAGACATGTCTACTAGGAAGGAGAGGAGCTCTTCCAACGGTTCTCCAGGCACTACCCCTACTCCACCTCCTGTCTCTGGTCTACAGACGGAAGAAGAGACTACCACGAGACCAGCAGCTGGGTCTACGGAAACGCCCGCAGGCTTCGATCCAAGCATGATGGAGAAATTTTTCTCCTTCATGTCCTTCTACGACCAGCACCAGCAAGGAGTACCTGCGCAGTCAAACAACAGCAACAACAACAACGTAACTCCTATGAGTCTCGACGGCTCATCCTACGCACGCGGAATTCAACAACAACAACAGCAGCCTACCTTTACGCCGTACGAGCCCCAGCATGGCTCCGTCAACTTCATGCCGCAACCGCAATCTGCACCGGGACAAGAAAGGGCATTGGACGCATTACAAGTTCAATCACAATTCGCGCATGTTCTCAAGCTGCAAACGACAAAGCCCTTCGACGGAAAAGACTTCTTCACCTGGTCGTTCGAGTTCGAACTGATGATGGAAGGAGCACAGATTCTCGGCTTCTTCGACGGGTCCCTGCCATATCCAACAAACGGGACACAATATGAGAAGCAGCAGTACATCTATCAATCAATGATGGCGTACACGATACTGCTAAGAAACATCACCCCGACCCAGCAGCAGAACATCAGGACTTACCGAGGCTACGGCAACTCCGCGGAGCTCGCGTACAACCACCAGAAGAACCTGTATCAAGCAACAGACAGCGTAAATCAAAGCAGGTTAATGGCGCAGTTGACAACAATTGAAATGAAACCAGGCGAGAAAGGCATGGCTTATATCAGCCGCTGCCGCGAACTGCGCGACAAGCTTCTTCGATGCGGAGGGTCGATTTCAGAAGACGCCTTTGTCACTGTGGTCATCGGCGGTCTCGGCCCCCACTGGCGCTCCACTCGCGCCATATTACGAGCACACGGGAGGATTTCCGAAGCGGCACTCTGCGCCGAAATTCATGCCGAGCAGCAGGACATGGACCTGCAAGAAGAAAGACACAAGAAGAAAACATTAGCACCGGAGTTTGCGTTTCACACTCAGCGACGATACAACAACAACAACAATCGACAACAGCAACAAGTGAAGACGGTACCTCCGTTTTTCCACATCTGCAAGACTTCGGGACACCCTCGCACGCACTGCCCGTCTCGTCAGACAACACCACAGCGACAACTCCGGCCTTCAAGCTCCCAAGTTGCCTCAACACAAGCAAATCCGACGACCTCAATCCAAGCTTCAACGACTCCAACAGGACAATCTGCACAAGGAGCAAGAAACATTGTCAATTGCATGGTGAAGATAACTGATTCGTGCACAACCGAATCACCACCTCACTACTCACCGGAAGAAGAGCTCGACAACAGGACGCCTCGCCGCGAGTCACTCCAACCGAATCCGACGTACGCCGCCATCGCTCAAAGCGAACCGACCGGGCAAGACACCTGGTTCTTGGACAGTTGCTGCGGACAACATATGTGCTCCTCGGGACGCTTCGCTCAACGCGAACATCGACTCCAGCGAGAAGTAGTCATCATGGTCGCCAACAACCAGAACCTGCGCACACGACGACAAGGATTAGTTCAGCTCCAATCAAGAGAGACAAACGTCATACTGCACATGTCAAAGGTACTCATCGCAGAAGGACTCGGTTATAACTTACTGAGTGTCAGCCAGCTGATGGCGAAAGGCATCCACTTGGAAGCCGACAGCACCACCCAGGAGTTTAAACTGTACCACGGGAAGGGCGGCCTCTACATCGGAAGAGCGGTTTTGAAGAACAACGTCTTCGTCCTCGATTTCGTCCCCGACCTTGGCACTGCAGATAGCGACGCCATCGTCAACTTCGCCGATTGGACACATCCCCCGGATCTCAATCCCGACTTCAGCCCGGGAGGTTTCTGGTACTCGCACACCATCCCTGAAGCAGAAAGAACACGAGCGTTAGCAACAATTCAACAAACGGCAGTAGCAGAGACAACATCGACAACAGCAGAGACAACATCGGCAGCAGCAGAGACAACATCGGCAGCACCAGAGACAACATCGACAGCAGCAGAAACATCATCGGCAGCAGCAGGACCAACGACACCAGTCATCGTCCACGAAGCACCACCAACACCCGCACAGCAACTGAACCCGACTCAACGAGAAGTCCACAGAAGCGCCAATGTCGTCGCCAGCTTCTACTCCAACTCCGACGCGTATCAACGCTCTCCCGGACATCGCGCTCCTGAAGAAATCTCGCACGCACGCATAGGACATCCAAGCAACACAGTATTAAATAACACAATACGAGTAGGAGTCCTCGACAAAGATTCGCTACTACTACCCGACGGCAGAGAACTTCAACGGGCACGAGGAACTTGCCTCATCTGCCCCGAAGCCGACTTACCCCATCGACCGTTTTCTTCTCACCACAACCCGAGCGCACCCGCATACGCACCACTCGAGAAGGTGTACAGCGATATCCTCTTCAATCGAGAACCAGGACAAGTCACATACAATTACACGATAACCTTCATCGACGCTGCCACTCGATACGTCTGGCATCGAAACCTACCCAGGCGCGACATGGCACTCGCAGCGTTCGCCGCTTGGCTACCGGTAGCAGAGAGGGAGTCAGGAACACAGCTGAAAAGCTTCCAGTCAGACGGACGAGGAAAATACACCTCTCAGCGCTTCAAGCAGTACCTGGCGGAAAGGGGAATAAAGCAACTCCTCTCCCTTCCCTACGCCCATCAGCAGCAAGGTGTTGCAGAAAGAATGAACAGGACTCTGCAGAATAGCATGCGCAAACTGCTATGTGGCATGCGGCTACCCAACCACCAGTGGCCTGCAGCAATGGACCATGCTGTCATGCTGCACAACTTGGTGTCGTCGTCGTCACTCCCGAACAACGCATCACCGCATCTCCTGTGGACAGGAAAGCAGGGCAGCACAAGAATGTTACGAGTTTTCGGATGCATGGTGCAGTACCGACCCCCAGAAGCA